TTCAAAAACCAACTTACAAAAACTGCTTCTAAACCCTTTATTGTGTATGAACAATTGGTTTAGGTTTCCAAGCATATTACGCACAAGATACTGATGGAAGCCCAAGCGATCGTCTAAGTAATCGAAGCACTTAGTTAAACATGCATTTACCCAAAATGTCAAATATCCACAATACGTTTAAAAATAAAACTACGTTTTTTTTACGTTTTAACATAACCATAATTTAAGTTTTGATTTTCAGCGAAGGCTGTTCTGCAGCGCTTTATTCTGAAATGGGAGAGGAAAACCAACTTGTACATTTGCTGGTTTTGATTTTTTAAATCCTCATGACACTCTTTGCTTTTGTAAGATTTGTGTAAATCTTATTACTTTAGGACTTATTTGCAGAAACCCGTTTATTTTACTTTGTGATTTTTTTGTTTTAACTTACCAAAATGCCAGCGGTTACTTTGCATGCCTTCCATCTTGACTGTTGCTATTCCGTTGTGCCGATGATGTGGCGCTGTTCGTGTAATTCCCAATGGAAGGCTATTAGATATCCCGTCGCTAGGGGTGAAAAGTATGCGGAGGCTTCATATCGGCTGCCACCGAAAGCCACTGCTCTTCCACCTCCCCCACCGGACTGGATTTCCGTAGAGGATGAGGACGACGATTCCCAATTACAAAGGGAATTAGTAATACTTCGTGGGATGCTTAAAATGTCAACATAGTCGTTGATTTTCTGAACTTGTACATACCCCTTTCTATGCTCACTTTGATTTGTACATTTTGTAAATACATTTTTCCCGGTCCTCTTGGGGCCACCAACACTTCTCTTCTAAAGTTATTTAGTAAACATTTGCGAAAATCTTTAATTATCACTCTCTATTTGGTTTCTTTTTCGTGGCTTGTGAGTTTAAGGTTTGATTTTATACGGGAATGACTTTGAGCTTGTGGATTACCGCAGATTTGGGATACATTATTGGACATTTATGCTCATGGTGAGTGTTCTCATAGTATGTGGTTGGATCGTCAGAATGGGATCGCCCGATTCTTTGCATATGTTGGTTTGCTGGGGTGATTCTCTTGCAGATCGTTTGACTCGTGAACATGTAGGGTGCACTGCATTGACGATCGTGGCGTTTGTTGCACGTATCATCCTTTCGAAAGCGTAGCGACTGATTTGATGTGTGATGATTACCCAGCCTCGTTTCCACGCTGTTTACATTCGCTGGGGGCGTGGACGGTCATCTTGCATGCGTCGACTTAGGCACTGTCGGTAGCGGCAATTGGCATGGGACGCATGTGGCCGTGCGCCTGTTTTACGAGCAGTGATGATTGTGGTGGCTTAGGTTTATTAGGGCGGGTAGCTTGCTTCCGGACTGCCTCTTCGCCACCACTTTCATCATTTTGCTGCAGCGCATGGACACGGGGACTGATTGAAATCCCACCAATTGCCTTACTGCATGTTGACTACTTACAGATTAGGTAGAGCTCCAGAGGTTGGTGGATCCACCATACCTGACTTAGGGGCTAGCACTAGGACGAATTGGTGAAGTCATGCTATTGTCGCAATAGTGATGGGGAAAAGTCAGCTTTTCGATAACAAGAAATGGTTACATTTGATATAAATATCGGAAAATTGGTCGGTACAGAATATGGACGTTAGTGTTGCTCGTGGAGTCGGGTCTCGATTGCCTCATGACTGACTCGTTTCACAAGCCAAGGGTATGGCGTGGCTAAAGTGAAATAAAGTCCTCCATCGCCACTGTTGTATGCGGCGAAAATAACCTGTATGAGTCGTGTTAAGAGGCTCTGCTTACTCGTGGTGGGCACTGAAAAGAGGTTGACACCGTTCACCTCCAGAATTATCTGTCCTGGTTGGAAAAACATGCTTCCGGAGATCGAAACCTCGTCAATTACCACAACGAGGGGTGAAGGTAGGGCGCATCTCTCCGGTCCTGCCAGTGGGGTGAAGGCGCTCCGTGGCGTAGGATACAGCGGCCGGGGCCTAGTGTTCTCGCACCATACACGCTGTGGACGGATATGCGGCGGAAACTTGACGCTCACCACGGAGACACGAATGCCCAGACCGGGGATCAGCTCGCCTGCCTCCCAAGAGTTGCGCCGCAGGGGATTATTGGAGGCCTGGGGGGGCACGTGTGTAGAGGAGAGGTGGCAAAATTGAATGAGCTCGTACAGAGTGATTGTCGTACTTGGAGACAGTCGTGCGGGAGTGGCAAGTTGCTGTTGCTGATGTAGACATCCAATGGTCACTTCGTCCCCTATTTCATGGGGAAGTGGTGAGGCAAGGGGAGCCATTGCTACTGGAACCACAGGAACTTGAAGGTTTGGTGTTTCAGCGGTACTGGAAATCTTCCTACAATCGGCGCTAAGCTGCTCGAAACAAGAAGCATTTTCGGACTCTAGGGAAAAAGGGGAAATTATTTGATGGAAGTTAAAAGAATACTTCGTCTATGGCTTAAGCAAGCGTACTCTGAATGTTGCCTCCTTGGAGTGAAATTGGTGTTCGCATGAACGAAGGCCTTATTAGCAAGGGTGCTTCCCGATTTCCATAAGGGCTGGGAAGGAAAGCTTGCTGCTGTCGAGTGCTACAGGGCGGGGATGCCGGTTCTGAACTTTGCTTAGTATGTGAAGGTGAAGATTTGCATTTTATACCTTCTGTTGTGACCACATCAATATTCTAGAAGGAAAACAGCCTGTTGAAGGCTATCTACTCGATATTTGTACTGCGATATCATCGCTCTGTTTATGTAATAGGATGCTCTGTTGTCCCTAAATTTGCGAATTCTATGAAGACTGCGGTGCCCTGACTTCATTTGAGAAGGAATTCAAAAATTGTTGTTTTTAAACAAAAAAATATTGAATTTTCGGCTGTACCTTATAGATTGCATCTGAACATGCATTCCTCTTATCAAGAGCCTTAGATAAAGCTTACTACCTGAGGATTAGTCATCACTGTTTGATCAAAGGAGCGTGATCCCTGGATTTTTCCACATTTTATTTGTTGTTGCTGATGAGATTGAAGCGCCTCCACTTTGACCATTTCTGCCACCCTGCCGGCATTCATCTCCGAGTCAAGTGTCTGCAATCGCGAAGGACTGGCGGCGGTTGAGCTGTGCACTGTTGGTGGCCTTGGAGGCTTAGTGCTAAGGCTCTCCCAACTCAGCTGACAAGGCTCTCTGCCGTTACTAACAGCAGTGGTGTACCGGTTGAGGCTCTGAATGCGACGAACACCGTATCGTTCCCTGCGACTCCTCTCTCCTACCGCCTCGTCAACTGCGACGGGAGCGGTAGTGTTGGTGACAGCGCGGGCTATGTGCGAGAGACGCTTGGCTACCTCCGCGTTGCGACTTCGGCGTCGCAGCTCGAAGCAGTCCAGTCCGATGGCTGCAGGGATCCTGCTAGCTGTGAAGGGCTTAGGGGGGTTGGGAGAGGTCGAGGGACTGCAAGGTATGGTCAGCGGCAGGTAGCAGCCCAGAGTCTTTGCTCGTTGCAAGTGCCGTCTTGTGAGGCCGGGCTGGCGTCTTATGGCAACCTTTTGTTCCGGCGCGGAATGTCTGAAAAGAAGTCGGTTTTAACTTCACAACAGCAGTAGCCGACATGGGGTCAATTAGCAGTTTTCGAAGTTTTAAATTTAGCCTATCTACAGAAAGGCTGGTTTTAGTGGCAAAACTACAGCTATGTAAAGAATTCCTCGATTCCTCATTAATTTTACCGGGAAATTGGAGAAGTATGAGGCTTGATATTTGAACTTTAAGATTGTCAGTTTACAAAAGTTCCGATAATATTGAAAAGTATGTGATGTTTAGTCACTGTAGCATTTCAGTATGAAAGCAATTTCATCGTAACTTGATTCGACCATGTCAAAAAGTTATACCTACACTCTTGCTATATTAAGTAATAATTGGTTGTAGCTAATGTGGGTAGTATGGAATATAAAAAAAACCTTGATTTGTGTAGACGATATTAATCTACTAACAAGTCATCAGTACAGATGGTGAAGAATTAAATTTGCTGTTTGTTATCTCACAGCCTGACCTGCGAACTTCCGAGCGAGTGAATTCTTAGGCCGTACACCACCGAATACCTCCCTGATGTTTGAAAGAGAATGCTGTTACCCTGACGGTATATGTAATGACAACTAAATTTACTAAATAACTCAATTAAATATTGTCTGTAAATACTACTATTATATCTCAATTGGACTCATCTGGTTTGCATTTGAATGTCTACAAAGCAAATTACGTCTGTAAAGTATTTTTGCATTTTTTTTAGTCAGTTATCGTTGCTGTGGATGAGACACCTAATAATTATTGGAAGCTGGATTTAGAGAGCGACTTAACTTGCTAATTGAACTGCGGCTGCATCCTCCTCGGGTCCCTTACGCGTTTAATTTTCGCGGATTATTAGCTATCTGCTTACTATCATAGTCTACATTTCTGTATCAATTGCTGACCCTCCTACTATCGAGCGGTGGAGTTTTGCGTCGCCAACTGCGGCATCGATTTTTGGTTATCGCATTTGCATCGCACACACTGCGCAGGCCTTCGGCACCACCGCTTCACACAGTCCCGGATCCCAAATATACCTTGTCTTGCCTTACCAGCACTTTATCATTTGGTAAATCTTACATAAACCCGTATTAAAGTAGTGCTATAAATGCTTTAAAATTAATCTGACCTGTCTTTGCGAACAAATTTGGCAAATCGTAGCTGAAAAATGCGTGATCAAATACGCGTGCAATCAGACGCGTACGGAGCTGTTCATACTTTCACAACCAAATTCCTACTGCGGTCACAATTACGTGCTCCAAAAGACTTCAATTTGACAGGAGTATCTACAGCAAGTACAAAGTGAAAGTGAGAGCAGGGCACCTTGTATGCTCTCGGTGTAGAGGGAGCGTATGGTTAGTAGGGGAAGAACTCACGCTGTGTGGACGGTAAAAGACCGAGTAAAGCCAGAGGCGGGCGGGTTGGTCTCAGAGGACTGATTCTCGGATTCGGTGCAGCTAAGGGACCACAGGGAGTCGTCCCACTCTCCTCCCCCACTGCCTCCCATTGTTGAGCTTCCCGTCTGCTGCCCCGACGGATGACCCTCCCTGGCCTCTCGGACCGCATGAATACTCTCTACTGCCATGCTTTGCTGATTAAGGTAATGAGAGGAACAAACTGTTGTTAAAAGGATTAGATATTCAGCCCTTTGAGAGCGTCAAATTCACGGAACAGTATCTCACGATGGAGAGGGGCTTATAGAACCCACTCCCTTGTTCAACAACGCAGGATTGCAACTCAACGGTAAAATAGTAAATTATATTACCTTTGGTCTTATTGTGTACTCACTAGCGAATTCTGTCGATTACTTTTGCAAATATTCCGTATATCTAGGAATATGTTCGTTAAGATTTACATCATTCTATCATCAATTTACCGATTTCGATAGTCAGCTTTTAATCTCAATTTCTCCAACGCGTTCAGCGTGAGCTACTAACGTAACATATGCCACAAAAGAATAAGCTTAAAACATGTTTTTAAAGTAATGCACCCGAGCAGTCATTTGTTGTTGACGGCTATATTCTGGTAAATTTAATAAAGTGACAGGTGGATTGAAGCTCATTACCCACAAAAATTCCTGCCCCACAATTGACGCATCATTCCTCAGTAAACTAACAGCTGAGATCGCGTTGTACACTTCTGAGAATGAGTCGAACGTCGGCGCCACTGAGTCAGCGGATCTGTTCAACTTGAGATAAATACCAGGAAAATTTTATGACACAAGTGCCTCAAAAGAAGGTCCATGAAAAATTGGATCAATCCAATTTAACCTCGCAACGTTATTACCAATCCACCAAACATGAAAGAAATATTTTACGAACGACACTTAGCATTTGAGATGCTATGGAAAAACTACTTGGCATAAAAATCTGTTAATTGATGGCGGTGGGAAAAGAGACACTTCCATAAAAACTGCCAAAGCAATTATCGTTTTCGTTTCATCCAACCCCAAAGGGCTCCAGCCTCTTTGGTCGCCGACCGATTGTTTGCCGTTGGCATTAAGTCTAGCGGGCGCATTAATGCAATCCAAACGGGAAGCGTAGGAAAGTGAGGTGCAATTAAAATAAGGTAATTCAATTTAAAATAATATTTATTTGTCAGCTAATTACCCTATACCTTTTGTTGTCATTCCATATGCACAGCGTTTTTGACTCAAAAGGAAAATTATGACATATTCATTAGAAAATGCAATTTGAAGATGACCGTTAAATCCATAAAAGTGGTAGTGTAAATACAGAATCAAGTGAAAATTAAGTTGATTTAAACCCATCCGCAGAATCATTCCTTCCGTGCACATCTAAATTACTTACTTTCCTTGTAATTTTCTGCAAATTTCCGGCTATTTAGCGCACCGACGTATCACACTCAAATAGGGAATGGTATAACGAGTATGAAGTGATTTTTACTAAGTGTACCCACGGAGGCACACCACTTCGGGGGTTTTAGTTACTATGACACGATGATATTGTCTGACAGACAAATGGGAATTCACTCAAGAAACTTCTTCTGTTGACAATACATTAATTTTGGTCGAGAACATGGCGTTATGTCTGTACCTGTCAGCAATGAAATGCGAATGGAATGCGTAACTGTCCTAATGATACGGGCAGACAACTTTGGTCAGCGTTTTCAATTTAGTATACTTGACTTATTAACAAGCCGCACCCTTAAATGAATAATGAACGAAAACGGAGTTGTTGAGAATAGATTTAACAATAACTCAGAGTGGTTTGACATCTCGTTACAGTGTAAAAATGAAGGATAATCGAAAAAGTTTAAGAAGACTGAAGTACATCTCGAGCATTTTCAAAGAATATTTCCACGTGACAGCGCGATTTGAAAGTGGCTACCTGTAAGACCATAGAAGTAGACCTTTAAACACTGACCAGTGTGAATTGGTAACTTCACTGGCGATCAAAGTCCGACCCACGCAGACATCAGTTGTGGGGTAAGAACAAGCTACCACGTAGTGTAAACACGTGAGACAATAGAATGACCACTGGCATCCAGACTAGGTTATATTTTATCACTTATACCCCGTAAATAGAAGGCATCGTGCTTTGTGGACACGGGCAAAAAATCTTTCTTCTTAGGTGAAATTGTGATGCAAAACTTATTCAAGGTGTGACCCGATTCAGTAACAGATCCACCAAAACATTCTACCGAGGCAAGCAGCATAAATATCGAATTTACCAATTCATAGTATTTTTACTGAAGCAGTGAAATGGTCAACGTTCAGGTCTACTAATAAACGCTAGATGTTAAGTAATTTGATACTAAATAGATCCCGTGAGTACAAACTGTTTCAACGTTTGTTATACACTCTGAAATGTGTACGTCTCTTTTATCCTTCTTTTCAGCTTAAGACACAATTTTACTGAAGGAGAAATAACGTGAAAGTGCTACCACCTGATATCACATGCCACTGTTACTTCACCCCAGCCCGAAAAACATCGCAAAGGGAACGGCTCGCTAAGACAGTGGCATATCATGAAAGCGTGGAACCAGCTAGTTGAACTAGGCTGGCGTCAGGTGAATCAACCGTTGAAAATGGAGACAGCAGCCTTCCAGAAAATATCTAAGTGTTTAAGAACTAATGGGAAATGGTAAAAAACCAGTAACATGCTTATACCATAACAGATTTCACCTCCACTAAGTCAATCATGCTCAAAGCCGCAGAAGTGACAAGCGAGTTGGGGGGTCATTTACTTTACTCTTTTATGGCATCGGTTCTTCATGAACCACCTTATAATTAATAAAATGTTAAAACACACTCAAGCACTTGCTTTGCAATTTACAGCTGCGAATGAGATTAATCATGGAAGAAAGGGAGGATGATCAGGCTTGCAGTAAAATGTCCGAAGTTTTGGCAGAAATCGCATGTTGGTGTGGCGAAAGGCATGGCGTTAGGAAAGGCAAGAAATGACTCACATCGCTGAGCAGGCAGATGTGCTCTGTGTGTGCCTTGGCGGTTGTGTGAGTAAAGGCCTCATGTGCAGGTTGGCGTGAAGTCGGCGCAAGCACTCGTGTGTGCAGGCGTGTGCCTCCATGTGACGGCTGGTCCACATACACACACTTGTGCACCGCGAAGAAGTGACCTTTGGGTGCGTGGCTGGCGGGCCAATCGACGGGTGAGCGCAACCGTGATATGAGCGCGCTCGTCAATGCACACACGAAACAGGAACGGCAACACCTTCTGCAGTGCCGCAGTCACGGCATTTCACTACGACAGGCTGTTATGTGAAGCCATCGTTTGCAGCTCGATCCTCAGCAGGCGGACGCCATTGTCACTACCCCTGTTACCCTTCCTGGAATGTCGAAGAGTAGCGCATCCTGCTACTTTCAATAAAACCAATGACTCTGCTAGCTGAAGATTTCAGGCCTACTTTTGCTCTACTTTTTTTAAAATAAAATTCGAACTGGTAGTACGTAAGTCTTTGAGTGGGAAGCATTTTAAAAACACGTTCAACCCGTATCACTGCCTATAATTTTTCTGAAGGACAGAAATGGATTGATACCATTACATCTAGCACAATCGGGAAGCTTGCTCAGGTGCCTCTTACATCCTGAGGGAATTTTAACTAACCAAAATTTAAATTCAGTGATTCCATTCCAAATAGAGGTTTTACTTTCCTTTTCTTCTCATTTCCAAGCGTAAATTGCAAAGCAAGTGCTTGAGTGTGTTTTAACATTTTAAATGGACATATCAATGGGGTTAAACTACCTTTGTTATCGAAAACCACAGCAAACATGTATCGTTTTAAATATTGGTTGAATATGTTAATTAGTCCAGCAATTGCGGTGGGATGGCATTACATAAATTATCACACTACCGGATAGCTTTGAAACTAGAAGTATATGAAATAGGTCATTTGTAGTGCAATTAAATAGGAAAACTGAACACTCTTTGAAAGTTCGTGCTTTTGCCATTTAAATACCATGTATAAATGCCAGTGTCACTAAGGCAGGTTTACATTATTTAAATGTAGAATGAAACCTACTTTACCCTATTTAAGCGATTTTAGTTCAGGTGTATACTAAAAGACTAGGAGGGATGGATCAGGTGTCTGGTGCCTTTTTCGACCGCTAAAAAGGGCTTGAACTTCCGCCCCGCAAACGCATCATGCTTATTCCCAATGTCGACTATTGACAGTCAGAGGAGTTTTTTGATTATTACCAAAATGATTTTGGGTTAGAATGAAGAATTCACTAACTTATCATGTTAAAGATAATAGCCTGAAATGCGACAATTACTGTGTAGATCTACTGAAAGTTCTAAAATGTTATCTTGAACGTTTCCACGTCGTTGTTCCGAGGTCGGCTCATTTCTAGAAGTTGAAAGCTAAGTTTGCGACTGTGTGCAGTGATAAATATAACCTTTTCAACGAAATCATGAAGGTCTCTGAACATTACCAAGCCCTTTCAGGAATGCTTTTCTTCTAATAATATCAATAATAAGGGACTCGGTATTCCGCAATTATGGAATTTTGTTTATCAACTTGAATAAATGGTCACTGATGGTTCCACTAGGTGGTAGTGACCTGTAAACAACAGACAGTGAATGCCAGTCCTTTGGAAAAGTGCAACTCATTTTTACACTTATTTGTTTTGCATGACGGAGTTGTACGAAAGTGTTGGAACTTCATACTTTAATTTTAGACTGAAGTGCACACCTAAAAATGACTTAGCTTTTGTATTTATTTTGTCCCAAAGTCAGCTATCATGAAAAAATCAACCTTCCACTTACAATACGATCCATATACATAAAATAAGTCGGATAAAATTTTGCAGAATGTGGCGGATTAAACGAATGAGACAGCCTATTAAAATGCCCTCACAGCACCGCCCCATTGTGGCACTTAATGCAGGTTGGGGGAATTTTGCGCAACCGGGGGGATGGTTGGGTGAGCTACTCTATCAAATTCGGCATTTTACTTCTCACTAAAGACTTTAGGGTCACAAAAGTGATGAATGCACTTAAAAAAATGTCCCATGGGCCGTGGTGCTAATCTATGCACATCATGTTATGACACCGAATGTTGTGACATTTAAATGGGGAACCGGACAATGTCTTCGAGGATCACTTATGTCAAATAGGCAATTTATTCTTCAAGCCTTTTCATCTACCCAATGAAGGGACGCTGTTTCTGTGTAACCAAGGCCAAAGAAGCACTATCTCATCTTGGGATAAGTTAGCTAAGCACCAGATGCTGGGAAATTTTGCCATTCGCCACGCAATGGCTTAATCCCTCCTGGTCACAATTTTTCAGTGTACCAAGTTATCCTCGAGACGGAGAATAAAGCAAGCAATATCTTTCATTCTTAAGTAAAATGCGAATATCGCACAAGGGAACACCACTTTTGTCATGCTGTGCATGGGAATCGCCATAATTGGGGTCACGTGAGACCCGTCTTCCGCATGTGATCGTGTGTCGAGCTGTACGCTGGACACAGAAGAAGAACCAGATATCCTTAATTTGTACTACACCCCAAGTACATCGTGTTGTGATTTTACATATTTACGCATTAAACGGTCGATCAAACGGAAGCATAGCGATTAATAAGGTTATCATGGTGGTGTTTTATCTAGCCCATAGTACACAAAGGATTTTGAGAGAAGGAATAAACCCTTTTGCTGAATTTTTGGCCGTTTTTTTTAGAAATGATACGGACTTACAATTTTCCGAAATTATGATTTGGATGCTGATTTTCACGAGTATTCTTGAGGATGGGTAGGTCAATGACTGTGTTGTGGGGCAGAAAATAAACTTGTTCTAACAAAGTGTTAAATAATCCATTTCGCTTTTCGCTAATACTCTAATTACCCATAAATAAAGTACAGCTACAACAACAAACAGTGGTGTGAGATTCCTGCGGTGACGGCGTGTCTTCTCCGTTGCGTTACTGTAAAAGAAGTTATGAAAAACTATTACCTTACATTTGCCGCCTTAAAGAATGGAACAAAATCATGTCGTTTACAAATTTGAAGCAATTAATTTGCCGTAGCAAAAGTGTTTCAACAGCAAGCCACTATCTTCCACGACATTATTTTGCCTACGCATTTATGCTGCGATTAATGAAATGCAAACGTTGATTGACTTGATATTATAGCTTCTTCTGACTGCACCATAGCGCCCTTCCCTCCTTACACGCAAAGTCAGTTGTGCCGTAGGCTTCCAAATGAAAATGATTTCTGTAGTGGAATTTGCTAACACTCCCGAAGGAGAAATAGCTATGTACTATCGAGTAAAACGATAAATATAGATCTGAATGATTGCATCCGATTGGCACAATAATGTTATTCATTTCCAAAATTAAACCTGTGTACTAAGCACAAGCCTAAAATCCATCACGTACGAATATCATCATTTACTTTGCGGCCTTCGTAGAAAAAAGTTGTACCGACAAGTAGAAATGGCTACGCTCCCCCAGTAAGCGATGATGAGGTCCGCTTGCACCTTATGGATGGATGTTATGCGCACGAATGTCTACTAACACTTTCTCACTAGAGCATGCGTTTTACGCCAATGTCTAGGAAACGCGGTGCCCAAGGCACAGCATAATCGTGACCTATAACGGCCTTGGATTAACTTTATGAATTAAAATTTGAAAGGAAATCGTGCGCAAACGCGTCCACGGTTAAATGTCACTTGAGCATGAACAGGTAATTAAAGCTGTGTGGATGTAATATTAATTTAACTGCTTGAAATATCAGTAGCCCGTCCACCCTCGTATTTTAAGCCTTTTTGGATAGCAGAGGCACTGTGATGCTGTAATCCGCGAGTTTTCTTTCGATAAACAGAAAACGAATGGTCAAATTAGCAGATATACCTAAATTACTCTGGCACTATTGAAACAAATCTTTATTAAACAAGTTCGTTTCTTGAGGTTGACATTCTACTGCCCTAGTATTGCCATCCTCTTTGCTCAATATGCATACGATGGTGGTTGCATGATCTGAGTTGCTTAAACTTTGTGCATGACCGCGGCAGCAACGGGAGGAGTCGTTATTAAAGGTGCTACAAATCAATTGCAACAGAGTTCCAGAAGAATTCGAACAAAGTATAATACGGCTTCCCAACTTTAAAGAAGTTAAATTTAAACATGCTAAGTACTTGGGTAAATTGTGGAGCCTAAAGTGTGGATATCGCCTTACTCATCAGAGGACGTCAAGTCCCTCCCTTACTGCCTCCTATCCACCCTGAGCTCCAATTATCGCATAGTACTTCGTCGTTTTGTGTGCTTAGGATTTTTGCTAATTCCCAGATTTAATAATTCTAAAAAAGGCAAAGATAGCCTACCCTCCTGCCACACAGTCTGGGAGTCACGGCATAGATCCACATCGAGTGCACGTGGCAATGCGACAGCCAGGTGTCACACGCACACTGTTGCACCACCCACTGCACTTTAAGCGCAATCCTCTTACAGATCACCCAAAGAAAAGCGATGTATTTTGTATCCCACCTTGACCCCTTTTCAACATAAACACTAAAACGGTACACAAAGCATAATTGCGTTTTTAGTCGAAGTGGTTACAATCATACATCTGCGGGTGAATTTCCCCCTGTCTCGTTTTTCCTACCTGCCATGGTGATGCGCATTCTTTCACAGGAAGGGACTGCTCCTCCTCAGTGCCGGATCAGTTATTTTTTAAGTAGTGTGACACAATGCAAGTCCATTTACCGACAGTACCTATACAATCTGCTTGGCCGTAATGTGAAGCGACGAAGTAAGGGCTGGAAGCATCAATATCTTCGGTCCCAAGCTGCATGGCGAAGCATACTCCACGCTTCACCTTATCGTCGCTTCAAGCGCATGTGCTTACACCGAGCCATGACACTGCCTAACGAAGATGCACTTCGACAAGTGACGCATTAATCATGGTGGGATGATTTTTGAGGGATTTTCGACTTGCAAATAATTAACCTAATAGAGTACTGCTCTGCATATTAAAAGAAGTTTAGTGCAATTTTTTCGCAGAAATTGCTTTACACCATCATGTCCTAGTGACATCATATTACTGGCTTTAAGACCTTAGAAGATTACATCTGTTTGCATAATTACTTTTAAAGTATTTTTCGCTTTCACTTTCCGTCAGGTCTTTCCTTGAGAAGTCGTTTTTCCTACCCATTCAGTATGACATTGTTTTGGAGCATACTTTTCTCCATACTTTGAGAAAAATTTCCACACTAATAAAAAAAACTGCATAAATTGATCGCACGATGACACCTAGTCACCGTGTCATAGATTCTGTAGCCCATAAAAGTTTATTTAGGCTGGTTGTAGGTCTCTTGCTTGACCTCTCGTGGACTAGAGAGCATGTGAATGTGTTACTACAAGTCTTCTTGAGTTCTTAAATACCTTGCTCTATGTAGGTAGATTGAATTAACCCGGGGTATCGATAGACTGTATTTCTATTGCACATACTTGTTTAAAGTCAAGCTTCAATGTGTTATAATATCAACGACTTCTGTAAAGAAATATGCCGAAATACATCGCAAACAGAATGCGACATGACTGGATGAGCCTTCTTCACCCACAGTTGCCTTCACAGGAACTCAAAGCACATCGGCGATACGGCAGTGTTGCTGGTCACAGTTTTTGTGATATTTGTTATAATCTTGACGGGTAATATATGTTTCGGTATAAAAATCAAGGGTAAGTTAAATTTTTCCAATTTCCCCTCCCAACAATAGAATTACTGAAGAATCCAGAAGATACATGTGGGTTTTTTGATTGGATGAAAATTGCAATCTCTTGGGACCGACTGAAGGGACGAGTGAAATAAATACTTTGCATCAAAAAATATCGGAAAAGGACATTTAGAGTCCTGAAACACCGGTACGGCGATATTTTAATCTGGTAAATTCGCCTCCAGTTTCTAGGCAGCTTTACGACAAAGGATTTTAAAGGTTGCTTTATTTTAATGAAGTCAGTTTGAAATCTTGAACGAAAATAAGTATAAAGCTCACAATTTTCACACGAAATACGGGAATTTTCTAAATTAACCAATTCGATCCCATTTGTAACATCTCCATTTAACGAAGGAAGGCTTGGAATACTTTGCAGATCGGTAAAATACTTCATTATAGCGTTTGACGATACGTAATTGTCAGCCTTTGACTCGTGTTTTAGTAGTGGTGGTAACTAGTCATCTTAGAATACTCAGTAAGTATATTGCACATGTTGCCGGCAAAAACGGTGAGCAAGCCCAAATACTACCTTTGAGAAGGCTGTCCTATTCATTACAATTACACTTTAACATTTTCTATGAGGAATAAAACCGATTCCACCAACTCTATTCGCACACCGTTTCAAATTCTCTTAAGTGTAAAAAGTTAAATATGGGCTGAAACAAAAAAATGTTGTCCAGTTGGGGTATTAGCTGCTCTACGAGGTGTAACAATGAGCTAAGAATGGTTTGTAAAGCATGTGTTGTTCGAAGCAGACCAAGAAAACTTACAAGCTACCGCAAGGAACAATGAGATAGCATTAGGCGTTAAGAATGTTTTACAAAGTGGGTCAAGACGCCGTCGGTAACTGATATTTGAACTTTGCGATTAGTGTGTCGTTTGCCTCCTTAATGACTAACTCCAATTCAGTCAGAAAATCCTTGAGTCGTTGATTCTCTATTTTGAGGAATTCCACTTCGCGTACATCCATCAAAAAGCGGTCCTTCCTTTGTGCTCTCGACTTTCGTGAGGCCTCGTTGTTCTTACGGCGTCGCTCAAGGTCCTTTTCAGTGGCCGTCAAAATCTTCTTTTGATTCGACTTCCCTATTTTCGAGTCTCTCTCATTTATTTCAGAGACGTTCTAAAATTCATTTATTTGCGTTTAGATTCGGCAAATGGTTTCCTGGTTAGTAGTATTTCGGTACAGGTATAACCGTGCAACTCTTTCTTGGAGGTTCTGAACACACCTGTAAGATTTTTACGATTAGTAGTCCCTTATAAATGTATCAAGGACTAAATTCATAAATAAATAATTAAAGCGCTTTTCAAACCCTAACGAATTGCTCATTTTCGTTTCAAATAAGCTATCAAACAAGGAATGGCAATAGTAGGCACGACATTATTTCTGGTATCTATCCAAGTGAAGGCTAAAATTTCAAAAGTTTCTAATTAAAAAATGAGGTTTTCAGCGGTTGCGTGGATATACGCTGTTGAGTATGCTTGAGCTCAAGTATTCATGTTGCCTCTTATGCTCCTCGGGCTTAATTCACAATCATATACACAACTTTAGCCTAGATGCTTCAGGCAACAATGCGTGACTTGACAGTTTGTCAATTGTTTCTACAGCTCTCAACCTAATATAATTTCCAAACCAAATCAGGCACATTTAATGAAACTCTTCCAGTGATTTCCACTCAGACACACTTGAAATTGCATAGATAAACTGCAATACTTATTCATCAATACGGGACTTATTATGATCTCAGTTATTTTAACAGAATCTACGCTGCACAACACAATTGCGCAATCGGGGTTCGACGCTCAAATTTTGAATATACAAAACCAGAATGTGGAAGCAGGCGCTTTTTTAATCCATGTAAACGGGACAAATTGCATTCACCGATATCCCCGTGTCCTCTTGGGCAAAAATAGGGAAAAATTACGCTTGATCTTGGTCGTAGTCACAAACCCTTCCTTAATGACTTGTACTCTGCCATAGCAAGTAAACGATGCTTACGTGGTTAAGAAGGATAGCGGGATGCGGTGCGACAATCTCGGGCGACGTGTTGTCGGGCTCGACGACAGACAAGCTGCAAAGCTGTTCATCCGTGGCGAAGCTGACGCTGCCCACCTCGCTCCCGCTGACGGTGCTGTTCGGCGAGGCGGTTCTTCGTGGTGGCTCCGTAGGGAGATCTAGATCCACCATATTCTGCGTAGTCGAGGAAATTGGGCAGCCAGTTCCATACTCAAAGCCGTAGTTTGGCACACGGAAGTGTTCGCATCTAAAGTTAAAGTAAATTAGTTTGCTCCGCCTCAGTTGCTACAAGATAATAGATCATTTGATGAAAACTAAAATGTACTCTTTAGAACCGGGTGGAACGCATAATTACCAGTATTTTGTGGCGATACTCTGATACTATATTATCTTTTGATCTAAAATAAATACCGGAAAACAATGGTAATCTGGGTCTATACAGCCTTAACATATGCCAATAGTAAAGAATACTGCCTAAAATTAAGGTAGATAAAAATACAAAGAGTTAATAGTTTATTCCCATCTTGAAACTATCTATTAAACATTTTCACACAGAAAAAAAAACGATCTATGCTGAAGCACTTTAATTAAAATCGGGCTGTTAATTACACCTACAAATCATGTTCAGATCAATTTCAGTGAGAGGCGTGATGGGTGGGAGTTGACAGGAGTAGTCTAACTTACCTTGTTTCCTGGGGCATCCCGCCATTGTAGGCCTGCTGAGCCCTGCCGTTCGGAGCGCCAAACTCCTCTCTCACAGGGGCAAAGGCGTGCGCAGAGGGGCTCAGTGCGGCTGCGCCTGCGAAGTAGGACGTGTACTGCGCGGCACTGGGCTCGTAGTAGGTCTCAGCTCTTGCAGGGAAGAGGTGAGCCTCCCCACTGTCCCAGCGACAACCTCCACTGTCACTATAGAATGAGGGTGTCATAAGCGTGTCGTAGGCCTTCGGATAAAGGACGGACTCTGTCCGATACGAGCGAAAATCCTCCGTTTGCGAATGCGTCGAAGAGAATGGAACCATTGCTATTTCTGTTGATGTTGTTGTTCTATCTGAAGGAAGCCAGTAAGCGCCAAACATTATTGTTCTCAACATAATACACATGTTCTCCAAAAGTAGTTCTGCCCTTACTATAGGATTAAAATTTTTATGCACTTCGACGTTAGCCACAACAAAGCAATTATATTTGGTAGACAAAGTCATGGGGTCGAACGGATAAAAGGTCAAATCACATCCATGATATATTCTGATGGAAAATTTTGGGTACTTATCAGAAATTCTGATCCTCTCATGATTATGAGTGCATTTGAGAGTGAAATATTTTACTTTGAGGGAAAGTCAGTTATCCTCTAATAAATAACCTCACCTATTTCGCCTAAATTTCTGTAAAATTTATGCCTACAGCATAATGACTAACATTGATACGCCGTTAATTTTAGACTTCTGGGTACACGATGCCATTAGACCAAAAAGCCGCACCTCATTGACAAACTTCGACGCCGTGAAACCGCGGGCATATTTAAAACTTTCTTAACCAAAAACTCACAGCATTCAACTTGAAAGCCATGAGGTACGGTCTCGGGGAAAGTGGCAATAATGAATAGCACTGTCCATTTTGTTGCTTATTATGTGGAGTAAACTCGACTTGATTTGATGCTTTTGCTGCCTCTTCACCTGAGTAAAAGTGTTTCGGTATATTTTAAAATGTTGAATTTATAGTGCGAAGTTCGGCAATCTCGACAATACAGCAGAATCAGTTGCCAGAAATAGGAATAGAGTGGAAACGATTCGCGAAAATTTTCTTCAATCATTTACCGTAAAGTATTTTCAGGCCACCTGAAAGGCTTGAAAAGACACCATAGGTCCATAAATGGGGTGTGTGATTTTGTACGGTACAAGTACAACTTATTCGCACCTAATCAGACTGTTTTCAAAATCTCAAAATAATGAAAGTAAACATAATTGGATGCAGGCTTGGAAGAATCAATTGCCATTTTTTTTCGCACGATTGAAGGTGTAGTAAATTAAAGCGATACTTAGTGTCAGGTCAGAGAAACAAACCGCTGCCATCCAAGTCGTACAGATCAGAAGTTTCCAGAAGGTCCCATACTCTCACTTGATATCTGACCACAAATCAGGAAATTTGTTTCTTAGTCGGCCATCTCAATCACCTTTGGCTGCCTGATAGTAGTAAAAGTACCCACTACTTTTACGTTTACCAACTGGTTACGCAACTGTTAACCAGCAGCCTTAACCTAGTTCATTGAGCCTTGGTGTGTGATAGCTGATTGTAGTGATGCCTTTATCTGCTTGCTGCCGCCCGTTCTCAAGCGTTTTTTTTGGCAGCTAAAGTGCCCATTCCCCCTTTAAATTGAGCCGATACTGTTTAATCCAATAGAGAAGCCCTCCACGAGCTTCTCTTTAATTACGAATTCTGGTGGAAAAAGGCATTCCTATACAACCGCTGAATATGAGTTAACAAGATCTTCCAAAGTATAGCACAAGAAAATCACTGACACATTCACTGGGAGTCATGATACCTGCAGTGTGAACTTCGATTGACAAGTGATATCTGGATTTCTGTACTTTACACTGAACATCATACTGTTATCTTTAAGTAGGCTCGGCACTTCGGTGCATTATACCGCACAACCAATAAACTCTAAAACAATCAAAACCACACTGTGTATTCAGCCATGGGCGAGAACTAATAGAAAAATGATTTCCTGAACTCTGGAGTAAATCTCTTTTAAATATGGAGCATACCTTCTACATGGCCAAAAGTCCTTTTACCAACACATTTCTGCCGCTTAAACACATCTTTGCATTTTGGAATTATTGGGAAGAGTTAAAGGAAAGGATTATGGAGTGTTGCGAGAGCAGCATACAACGGTAACGAGAAAAAAAGAACTAACTATAGAGGGAGAAGCATAGCATTAGTGGAATATTATAAAATATTTAGCATCAGTGTTGCTTACGGGAAGAACAGTTCACAAGGAGCTTGTGGATTCCAGTGGACTAAATCGTGGTTGTGGAGTAACGCGAAGGTTCCAAGACGTCCTCGCAAAGGTGTGGTTTGTGAGGTGTGGGTGTGCGGTGATGTGCGGTGCTCATGCTGGAGCAAATCAACAGTCTGCTTATTTGAGTGCACAGCCAACCAATCAGCGCAGAGCTCTCAATAGCTGTGTCGTTATCGTGCAGACACACGTCCCCTCGGACCTATTAGGTGCCCCCGTCCTACTTTTAACGTTCAGGAATTAAAGGGTAATAAAAAAAACAATTTAACTTCCACAATTTGCTATCCGGATATATTAGGATCCCGGAAGAACCAAAAGGACTAAGATGCGGATAGTCGTTTTCGGGTTTTTTCATTCCTAATTTTGCCTAATCTGAACAACGGCGCCAAAACACGGAAGCAGTGAAGACACCTGATAGTAAGCGTACTACTCCCTTAAAACGACCCATCTTGCGAAAGTAAGCTCACTGAATAACTTGCGGGGGCGGTCCTTTTGGGGTCAAACTTCTAGCAAGGAGGGCATGATGCTAACCCAAGTGTGTTGATGTGCCATTTTGTAGTTTGAGCTTCATCCAAAATGTTTAACTTCTACTTAGGTGTCTCATTATTGGGCATATTTGGTGTAATTTTTTAAAAAATCGATTCCTGCCTTATTGAAGAAGGCAATTTTGGTACAAAAAAAATCCATATTAGTAGTTCCCACCCACTTCCTAAGCCTGAAAATAATCACACTTCTGTATACTACCTTATTTTAAAGGTCTAGTCGTCAATCACCAGTGCCGTTGCTGCGGCTGAAATTTGATCTCGGACGTATGCCATTAAATGATGAACAATAATACATTCCGACGAGCTCGTATGAGGTAAAAGATTTACGTTCGAATCAAGCGTGTATACAGCGCTGCTTAGATCGTGCACCTGCATCGGCTTCCCTTTAAATGAAAAGTTAAATAACTACTCCCACCACCAGTTATTCACGAATAGCTAGTACCAAAGCTAACTCACCCCTCGAAGTTGGAGAAAAAGTTAAACTGTAAAATGTTATCAGAGATCATCACTTTACCAAAAAGAATGGGGCTTTTCTTTGAATAGGAAACGATGACTGTAATGGGCTATTCTGCCTATGATGAAGATGTAATGCCATGCACATTACTTATCTCAAATTGAAATAAATGTGCTCTGGAAGTGCTGATTGATTGCACATTTTAAAAGAAACTTCACTTCTAGACGTCGGCCACGACTATAGCTCCACATTGACCCAATTTCCTCATCAGCAGCTATCCCCAGACAAACAGAGCAGGGGTAGCAGTAAAGCACACTAAAACTCAGATAATTAATATATTCTTGTACACGGAGTATGTTATCAGACATTTTAATATTGGAGGGTATTAGTACTAATCGAACTCATGTATGCATAATTGTTCCGCCTAAATGAAATTAGCACAACTGAAATTCGAAACAAAAGAAAAGTGCTGAGTTAAGTAAATTGAGAGGTGCTAAGAATATAGACCAGAGTTGGTTACAGGAACAAATAAGCTGTACACGTCCAAATCCCCCCTTGATTTTGAACATTGTGACGCAGTTGTAACTTAAAAAAACAAGATAAATATGTTATGCATTATCGCTCAAACAATTTTAAACCTATCTAGATTGTACTTCTCATGAATAAATAGCGACTTGAGGCATCCTTTAATATTTAAGGTATTGCTGGAAATATCTTCAGTTGCGTTTAACAAGAACGGTAATTAACACAATGTTGCATAAAGAAGAGAATTACTGGTACCTTGATTCAGCAGAAGCAATTACATTTCATTAATAGTAATTCATCCATCCAGCTGCAAAGTTATTTTTGGTTGCTAATAACCAAGTATGTTAAGGAGAGAAAAATCCTAGTTCCTCCTATTACAATAAATGTACCAGTAATAAGGGACAATTTCGGAAAATATCAGAGGTAATATCAAGGCATTATGATTCATGCAGAACACATTCCATAATCCATATCATTAGTTCGATACGTGATATGCTTGGTGTTTCAGCTCTTCCGCTTCAGATTTCACTCCCTTAAAATGAGTAGACTTATAAACTAAGAAGAATCCTTATTAGTAGTGCAGGGCCCCGAGACGAGAGTAGACAACACTCGGGCAGGATATGTCCTCCTCATACAGAAAAAGAGGGGCTACTAGCATGGCCCGGAGCCCAGCCCATCCAGTAAAGGTACAATGATGAGTATCTAAATGGCCCCATTAACAAAACCGAGAGTTAAACAATCAATTGATGCAGTAAAGTAGTACCATATAGGCGGCGTAACGTGATCGGGATTATGCATGCCCAGACTACACTTCCTCCTAGGGGCAGATGACGGCAATTGCTTGACGAGATTCGTGTTAATGAACTGCCTCTCACCTAGGAGGTAAATTCAAGCAACACTGCATTGCAGGTACGACCCTTTTAGTTCAAAGTGTAAGAACCTGCTAAATGTAGTGTAGCGTCCCGAGACTCCCTGAAGACGAAAGAAGACACAATACTCGTGCAGAATATATATAGTTAGCACGGAGAAGGTGTCTGGGCTATTGGCATGGCCCAAAAGGCCAGCCCACCCAGCGAGGTACAAGGGGGCTAATTCGAAGTACCAAAAGTTGCGCCTCACCAGAACCGAGGGATAAATCACTATCGCATTACATAGCCTCCCTCCTCTTTTGAGCGTCGTCT